ATCCTATCTTGACTCACCTATTACTCCTATGCAATTTGTGATGCACTTAATAACTATATTATTTGGGTTAAATCCCCATTTTGGTCCCTGAACTATTGTACGGACCTCCAATTTGGTCCCTGAACTAAAGAAATCCTTGATTTAATCCTTAAACTATTATACGGACCCCCGATTTGGTCCCCACTATTTATAATTTGGCCTAAGTTGGTCCTTGAACTATTGTACGGACCCCCAATTTGGTCCTTACTGTTTACAATTTCGCTCCAATTTGGTCCCTAAGCTATTATTTAACAGAAGGACCAAGTTGGGGTTAAATTGGTAAACAGTAGGGACCAAATTGGGCATCCGTACAATAATTTAGGGACTAACTTGGGAGTCCGTACAATAGTTTAAGGACCAACTCAGGGGTCCATACAATAGTTCAAGGACCAAATTAGGGATTTCTTTAGTTCAGGGACCAAATCGGGGGTCCGTACAATAGTTCAGGGACCAAAATAGGGGTTTAACCTATTATTTGCAACCCCTTGAAGTGGCTATTTTTAACAGCATCACAGTACACAAGTCCTCACATAGAATAACGATAGTGTCATGTCAAAAGATCACTTATAATTACATTATAATTGAGAAGTTACTAATGACATATACATGTAGAGTTCTCATGATAGGTTAGTCCAATGCACTCATTTACTTCGAGTCACCCATATGTCATACGTGACTTTGTGAGAAGAAATCATACATCTTAGCAAAGTATCAAACATAATAGTCTTTACATTATTGATGTCTCATCTTAATGATATGTATGACTATTAGACAATTTAAGAAAATTACTATCATATCATATAGTTTTCACTAATAGCGATGAGTATTATTACCTTTTGATATAGCAAATATTCTAAAGACTTTATCAACATTTAACATACACAAAAGAATAGTAGTTAATGTTCAGTAAAGAATGTCATATATATAATGAGTGTAACCACAAGTATATAAGATTGTCTTAACAACCCAGTTGCTTGTAGGGCATACTCTAACACATCCACTCCTCAAGCCTCATTGCTTGAGAGTTCAATCCAATAAGATCCTCTTGTTTATGGGTGCAACATCAAATTGAAACAAACTCTTACTTACGAGTGCAAGATTAAACCCTCACACCTATCTCATTGTTTCTAGGAACCGTGTACAAGTGAAATATCTCTTAACCTCACTCATCCTTCCCATAATCAAATCTCAATTCAAAGAGAATACAAAACCCTTTGTGTGAACAAAAAAAAAAAAAAAAACCCTAAAGAAATCTTTCAAGAAAGGAAAAAATTTAACTCAGATGAATTATTTTTAGAGAAAATTGAATCAACTTTTTATAGCAGTAATTAGTGGGTTATCTTGAAGTTAAATCTGATTTGAAATGGTTGGTGAAGGAGCCTTTTGCAATTAAATCTTTTTTTCGATCTTCAATGACTCCTTAAACGTTGCTCCAATTGAATTCCACCTTTTTCAACTTTCTACAACAAGTCTTAAATTCTATCTTGAAAAAAAATATGCTAACAGAGCTATCCATCAAGTTATCAAAAGCAACTCTTTTAGAATTTTCAATTCAAACCCATACATATTGGTTTGAACCACTTTCAAAAAAATTCTGACTTTAATTTTGTGGGATTGTTTCTAATCTAGAACTGTAATCAAAGAGGATAAGAGATTGTTAAGCTTTACTTCTAATTGTGGGGAAAGATAAGAACCCTTCAATTATCTTGCCTACACACTCAAAAAGAAATTTATCAAATACCAATAAGTTTTTTCCTCCAAAATGCTCTCTTCTCAGCCGTTTGTGCTGAAGTTGCTCAAGTGTGCCACTTGCTTTGCTCAAAGTAAGAAAAAGGATTTCTGATAACCTTCACTTCTTCCAAGTGTAGGAGCTTGTTTAAAAGTCAATGGAAGAATGCCATTTGATTGAAAGATTATGCCAATAATACTTTGACCAGATGATGGTAGCAGAAATTAGGATGGATTATTGCATGATAGTTCAAAAATAATTGCCCTAGACGAACATCAGGACTTCCCACATCTATGACCATAATAAAGTTAGTTTGTTAAGTAGACATAAGAAAATGAGAGAATGAGTCCATGGCAGAAGTAAAGGCTGATCTAAGACTAAATTATTGTAAGAACATAAAACTAAAGATCATGACAAAATTCTTAAAATGCTACTACATTAAAATCTAAGAGTATTGACAAAAATGTAAATTGAAATTGGTAAAAATGTAAAGAACTAACTAATAATAAAAATAAAATGAAACTAAGATCTTTACTTGAAATCTTAAGAAAAATTACAATTGTAAGTTGAAACATAAATTCGCTAATAAAGCAAAAACTAAAGCTATATAACTAGATCGAAAGATAAATTATTAATAGAAATGTGAAGTGTGCTGGTAAAAGATGATTAACTATATTAAATTTAACTACTAAAGCTAATTTAACCAAAAATAACAAAAACAAAAACCCATTAAGGGAGTTAAACCTCTTCTACACTAAAAAGAAAGTTGTAGAATCGCTATAGGAGCTATGGACTAAACAAGTGCTAAGATAAGACATATTAAAGTGTTGATATTGTTGAGATGAGCAAGCTTGTTGAAAAATGTACTAAAGTGCTGTATTTATGGGCCTCCATAATTGAAATTGATTACTATAAATCAGATCTAATCCTAGTTTTATCCAACTATCCTATTATTGTGCTTAACCAAATCAAAGGAATTTCAATAGCTTTAAATCCTTCCTTACAAAATTGATCTTTGCCATGTGTCATTTAGTTGCTAGAAATAAAATTCTGGTTGTCAAAAACCTTTAGAATTAGGATTGTTGTAACTGTTGCTAATTTTTGTCAACTAAGCTAAACAATTCTGCACCATATCAACAAACTCCCTAATTTTGTGGAACCTCACCTTCTCTCTTTGGTTTCTGCCACGTGGTAGATATTCCTTACACTAGAATTTCTCCTTATTATGGATTGCATCACACTAAATCATGGCTATTAATCATCTTTTAAATTCCTAATTGTATGAAAAAATTGTGGCCATTAGATCTCCATTGGGGACACATGGCATCATCAAGAAAATTGTTGAATATGGTGTAAACATATGGTTTTAACTCATCATCAAAATTCAACAAGGAACCTAACAATCTCCCCCTTTATATGATGACAAAACCATGATGAAATTCAAAGTTACAATAATAACAAGCAATGTTAAAAATGCCAACTATCTCAAGAAAATCAAAATTCAAGTTTCATATTTCAAGAGTTCCAAAAAAAAAGTGTTCCAATTTCATCAAACATTCTCCCCTTTTTGTCATCAACAAAAGGTTAGTCTAGAAAGTTGAAATAGGTGAAATTAAATTGGAATAATATTGGAGGAGGCATTGAAGACAAAAAAGAAGACATTGTTAGAGTTTGCCCTCTAAGCCAATTGGGTTGACAACATAACCTTATGTAATTATGATTACGCTCATTATATTTATGACTTTCTTTATCAAACATTAACTGTTATTCTTCTGTGTGCATTAAATACTATTAAAGTTTTTAGAATGTTTACTGTATTAAAAAGTAATAGCAATTATTGTTATTAGTGAGAACCATATTATGTGAGCAACATTCTTAAATTGTTTAATAATCTTATATATCATTGAGATGAGACATCAATGATATAAAGATTAGGTTAGAACCCCATTTTGGTCCCTGAACTATTGTACAAACCCCTAATTTTATCCCTGAACTAAAAAAAAATCCTTGATTTGATCCTTACTTTTTACCATTTTAACCCCAATTTGGTCTTTCCGTTAAAGTTCCCATGGCGTGTCCTGTTAATTCACTGTTACATAATGACATGTCAATTTTTAATACACATGGAAAAAAACAATAATATGATAAAAAAAATTCTTTCTAATATTTTTTCTTCACTTTCATTTTCTCTCTCCCTTTATAACACAGCATGCCGGGGTTTGATGGAACCCACGCCTGGGTTCTTTCGAACCTAGGCATTGGGTTTGTTGGAACCCAAGCACTAGGTTCCTTCAAACCTAGCACTCTTGGTTCGATGGAACCCAGTCAAGGGTTTGAAAGAACCCAAGTGTTGGGTTCCATCAAACCTAACACCTAGGTTCTTTCAATCCTAGTCGAAAAAATAAGAAAAAATTCCTCTTTTTTGTTTGTGGGTTTTGTTGTTTAATGATGATGATTAAACTAGCAAGGGTAGAGATTGGTTGAGATGATAGGATTTGCAGAAGTTGAAGAAAGGGAAAGGGAAAAAGGAAAAGGAGAAATGAAAAAAAAAAAAAAAAACTAAAGGGAATTTTTTGTTTGGGTGGGATGAGTTAGAATGCCATGTCATTTATTTTTGCCAACCAGTTAATTTTTCTGTTTCTTCCATCAATCAACATGAAAAATTTAACAAAAGGACCAAATCGAAGTTAAAATGGTAAACAGTAAGTGATGAGAACCCCAAAGAAAACAATGAGACCCACAACACAACAAGGGATTTCTAAACTCCAAGAAAGCTAAATCGGGTTTATAATAGGACCTTGACCCGTTGTTTATGTCGCAACAAGAACCAAAGGTAAAAACCTTGACCCGTTGTCTATGACGCAACAAGAACCAAAGGTATAAAGTTGGTTGACGCCACACCCTCGAACGATTAAGAACGAGAATGATAAGTCAGGTTAGAACACCACAAGAATAATCTTGATAAGTTCTGTAAAGTTCTGAAATGAACCAAAGAGAAAAGTCTCTTAAAAACTCAAATTCAATATCCTCCCCAATTAGGGTTACAAGCCCCTTTAAATAAGAAAAAGTAATTCTAATCATAATAAGAAACTAACACCCTAAGCCCTAATTATAATAACCACGAATTGGGCCTTAAATAAATGAATGTTCAGCCCAAAATAATATAAAAAACATGAAAATCACTAAAAGTAGCCTAAAGTAACATGAAAATCACTAAAAGTAGCCTAAAGTAACATGAAATATCAGTTTGTTACAAATTGCGACAGAATTGCGAGATTGACGTAAACTGGGTAATTTACCATAAATGACCTCAATTAAGCTTCTCTTGAACCTGAATGATGTTTATCATGCCTTGATAATCATCCAAGCTTCGATTTGCTTGTTGTATGTTATTTTCAACCCAGATCTGTTCAATAAGGCCATTTAAAGCTTCACGTATCTTCTTAGCTCTAGCTCGCGTGACTAGACCTCCTTGGGTGTGTAATGGATCATATGACGTAGTAGATATGCTGTCGTCTTGATTCCCATCATTCTCTCTCTCCTCAAAAGGATTTGTCCTCAAATCGTCACCTACATCAAAAGGAGAAAGATCAGA